GTTGACCTATGAACCCATGCACAAAGATCAGGTGTACGGACTTGCGAATCTGGGTAGTGGTCGTGGTACTTGTGTTTTGTGCAGCCAAACCTGCCCCAATGCCAGTGTGGAGTTCTCCTCATGCAATTGAGCATCTTGTTGGGTCAGATTTACGATGTCTCCCATTATTTCCCAATCATGCCAGTCATGATCCGTGGTCAGCCTGCAGCTATATCTAATGACCCCCAGAATCAAGATGACCCCATGGGGCCAGCCGCACTCCAAACGGAACCCCTACAAGGGCCTGAGGTTGAATCAAATCGACCACTTACAACAGGTCTTGCATTTGCTGCATAAGCCCTGGATGATGAACCGATTCGACCGTCCACAGGTCTTAGTTGTCTGCACAAACACACAGTGCCACATGGCATTCCTCACGAATGCTGGCCTTGTCCAATATGTACAACAGATTCATTCCTCCGTTGTTGAACCCGATCGTATGCCACAGGTCCACCGGAAGATCTGCCATGATGACGGTTCAACAGATGCTCAATGCTCCTGCACAGGAACTTCCTCATGTTCCGCAGAAATAATACGAGTGTCCCATATGCCAGGAGGTTATAGGAAAACCTTGTAAATACATCTTAGGTGTGAATACCAAACCATCAAATATGAAATCTTCATTTTTCTGCCGGAACGTGAGCCGACACTACTTTGGTCATTTCATCATGGAACAAACCTTGATCACCCACTTCAAAAGAGGTTCATGCCCTGTCCTGACATATCAATGGGCTCGTAAAATATTTTTTGGTCCTGCAGAGTCTGAATCCATGATGTCCTAACCTGGTCTTGATTCACCCGCCCGCATTGGCACAGATACTTCGACCTTGTTCACCAGGCCTGATTGGGAATAAACCTGCCGGATATTATTAATTGCTGGTTTCCATTTCTATACACGCTGCATTCGGTTCCATAGCAGAAATTGAAATAATTTAATCATACCTTGCAATGGATGACCCACTGTCCTACATTGTCTCAAATGGACTTCCAAATGGATCAAATATTTCAATTTGTCCATGCAATTCCTAATTTAAATCCGACAACCCAGAAACAAAATCCAAAGAAATGTCCGGCCGCAATTTACGATCCTTTTCCGTAGACCATAACGCACACGTTCGCGCGCGAAAGCCCACCCAAAATTTAAAGCGGCATCGAACACAAAAAATATCCCTACCTATTATGCGGCATACAAATCATAAATCCCTTAAAATAAATATCATAAAATTATCAATGTCCGAAATATAAAAATCAAATAATTATATATATAATATAATATAATAGCCTTTCCAAGAAACCAATAATCTCATCGAAACGATCTAAATAAACAATTTACAAAATCACATACAATCAAACGCCCTAAATTAACAAAATTCACCCTTTCAATTAAATATATTTATTCGAAATCAAAACCACATCGACATATATCATATCGTAATATATACTCAATCGACCACCAAAAATTAAACATCAATATATATAATCATAAACGAGAAAAGAAAAAAAACAATATTTTTTAATTTTAATAACAAATTAATAAATTCCTCGATAAATATATTAATATTTCATAAATATTTCGTAAATTCCTCGAATATATGTTATTTTGTATATACCATTATGTTTTATAAAATATATCAAAAATCTTTCATATAATCTTTTATAACAAATATTATAATATATATATTTAATTCAAAATAATCAATAATATCCATATCAAATATCATATATATATAAATAGATTAATAAAACATTCATTCATTCATCTTCCGGCGGTCGAGGTGATCCGCCCGTGTTGGGCCGCACAAACTAGTTGTGGTTCCTTCGTGAGGATCGAAGGCCCATCAAGTGCAAAAGGTCTTTCAACTCAAGTGCTCGGAGATGAGATTGCCAAGTGTGTCTGCCGAATGCCATGGAAGCGGACGTCTGGGCAAATTGCAGCCATTGGGGCCGCCCAGATCAGGTGGATGTTTTCATAGAAGGATCTATCCCGAGTGAGGCGTCTGGGCCTGCAGCTGTTGTCACATAGAAGGCCAGCTCCTGAGTTGAACAAAACGGCCTGGTAGTGGCCAACAACAGGTGAGCTACCGAGGTGAAGGACACCTGCCACAATCTGATGCTCCGTCCAAGTGATGGAGCAGTGATTGAAGCCATCGAAAACGGGGAGCTGAATGCGGTTCCTATCCCACGTGATGGCCTGACAGTGGCGGTGGTGCAACCTTGGATGTCGTTCCAGCTGCAAACAAACCCAGGAACTGGCGGATCTCAGCCCATTCAACCATGGCCCCTGGTGATGCCACTGCTGGATCACATCTTGTAGGGTCGTCTGGACCTCAGGCAAGTCACGAAGCACAATGGGGGCAATGAGGGAACCGCTGTCTTCTGGTGGTGAACAGTCGTGAATCCCATGCATGGATCGTGAGGATCCCTCCGGCATCAATTTCTTTTCAAACATCTGAGCTCTCATCCAACTTGCAAATTCGCCTGCGTCATGTCAGTCTCGGCATGAGAGGTGAACCATTCTGTGAGCATGCCACCTAAAATCGAAGTTTGGCATGGGTTGTGAGCCTCCCCAGCATGTGTAGTGAACATGCACAAAATCGGCTGCGTCCATGCGCCCCAAGTATCAAGCTCGAGTGGTGTCGTCAAAAGGGTGGTCCATACCTGAGCCAGCAAAGTGCTGTTCAAGTAGCACGTGGATCCTGGATTCACAAGGCTGGTCGTCATGATGCCTCTCAGGACCTGCGCAATCTGTGGGAGATTGCAACCGCTAGTGGCGATCTCTGCAACGTGGTCTGCCTCATCCTCATAAGGATGAGTTGTGTAATGCCGTTGCCGGCAAGCTTGAGCAGGAGCATATGAAGTTCCTGTGCTTCTGGTCCACGAAGGCTCACGTCCAGCCTCCATGGAATGGCTATGGCGGCGTCCTGCGGCAGATTGTCTTGCGTCAAAGGTCGTAAGGCTGCAAACTTCAGCACCAAATTGGGATTCTCGCCCAGCTGATGGATCCGACGGAGTGTCTGACAGACGTCGTCCGACGTCAGAGGAGTCTTCTGGTTCGGCTGTAGAGCTTTGGCTTCCGGGTTCCATGACAAGTATTGCCATTTCAGATCCTCGGTCAGGATCCCTTTGGCCTTGAGGCCCTGGACCAATGCGTCGTCTTTTGCCGTCAGGTTCAGCTTGCCGGCTCGGCTCTGTGAACATGGCTTGGAACATGGTCTGCCTGAGGGAGGTTGTCGTTTCCCCTGCCTGCTTCTGAGCGTTCCACCTCTTGCCCTGTTCGAGAAGGGATGGCATCAATGAGCCTTTGCCACATTGAAGAAAGATCATCAGGCTTCGATCCAGTCCTAGCTGGTTCAGTGTATCCTCTTGTCGAAGGACCAGTCGACCCAACATCTGGATCAGATTCCCCTCTCTGCTGTCTGAGGTGCTCGTAAATGAGGTCGAGTTCCGTTTTCGCTGCTCTCGGCCATTCTTCTGAGGGCCTGTGGACAAGGTCTCGTGTCGTGGCCTCTTGAAGCCTTCTTGGCTTGATCGTCCTCTGTCTGTTGCAAGTCCATCATCAGCAGGATGGGTCAACTGATGCAAGTCGTTTTGGGCCAGGATCTGTGTCAAGTGGCCAAGTATGTGTTTGATGATGGCAAGTTGATCATGTGTGCACTCGTGAATCGATGCTTCATGCCACTGCTGTTGAGGAATGGTGTCAGTGTCCAAGGTCCAGGCCCATGCAAGCGGCGGGTGATGTCCAAGTACACGAATCATGGCAAATGCCTGATCAATCACAAAGTTGGTGTGGAGCATCTCTGGAAAGTGCGAAAGCCAGTCAGTGGTGGATCGAAACCAGGTCACTCCCTTCAGTGGAGTCCAACAAGGTGCAAGTACCATGGGAAACCAAAGGCTCACAAGGTCGAATGCAGGAGGTGTTAAATCATATTCTCTTCCGGCCTGACTGAGATCGAAGAACCTGTGCAGCAAAGCAGGTAGTGTATGATCAATCTTGGAACGTCTGTGGTCTGATTCGTTTGTCAACGTGGGACCGAAATGCTGTGCCTTGGCCCATTGACACATCAGGACCGGACATGAGCCCCGTTTGAAATGTGTGATCAATGCCTGTTCCATGGTGAAGGTACTGTAGCAATGACGACAGGTCAGACTACCTTGAATCATGTCATGATCCGGAACGAACGAGAAGGCGCCTGTGTGGACAGCCTGGTGTTCACGGCGCAAGTGTGCAATCAGTGCTTTCCGGCCAATGGTTTCAAGGCACAAAGGGCACTCGAACTGCTTAGGTGCCTCAGGAATGGGTCCTGTTGGCTGGAGGTTGAGCATCTATTGAATGGTTCTGGACGTCTTCAACTTCTTTTGAACCTGAGCCGGAGGTGCTGAGGTCGAGTCACTCGGATTGGTGTCATGGCTTTCCTGCATGTGTTGGGTCAGACCGGTGGCAGTCAAGAAGGCCATCTGACAACGAGTACACTTATGTAAGCTAGTCGATCCACTGTGTCCAGCTGTGGTGCTGGAGGCTGATGTCTGGCGGACTGCACTCGAAGAGTCCCTCAGTGGTTCAGCCTGTGTAGATAGGGTCAAAACCGGACGAGTGGTCAATCGATCATCCTCTGGTCTGTCTTCTGGCAACGTACGGAGCGTGACGGGCATGATTGGGAAGTGTGACACGTCATAGGTCTGCCCTAGCATGACACTGATTT